CCTCTGCCCCTCCCCGCACCTGCTCATGCTCTCACAGGCTCTCTCTCCCTTGCTTGCTCTAAAATAAACAAATCTTAAAAAAAAAAAAAAAAAAGGACCAGGTCTCAGCTTACCTTCTTTTGCCACACTTTGCACCTGCTCCCCACACCCTTCCTTACTTCATGTACCAGCCAAGAGAACCTGTCAGGCTCCACCCTAAAGGCACAATGGCCACTCTCGCCTCCAGGTGCTTGTGTAGGTTATTCCTTCTGCCTAGCTCCCCACCCCCCACAAATTCTCATCTGAGCAATATCTATTCGATATTCAGATTTCAGCTTAAAATACCAAATCCCCTATGAGCCCCTGAGGTCAGTGCTGAGTCAGGCACCTTGTGCTCTTACACAAAGCTCTACACATGACCTCTCCTAGAATATTGCAACTGCCCATCCCCTCATCTATAACCCCTCTGGGAGACTGCAGACTGCAAGCTAGGGGCTGCTCAACTAGAAACCGTGGTCCTGGGGGCCTATACAGTGTCTGGCATATAGTAAGAACTCAACAAAGACAACATGATTAAAACAATCACTAAAACTTAAAATTAGGTAAGGGGAGCCTGGGTGGCTCAGTCGGTTAAGCATCCAACTCTTAGCTCAGGTCTTGATCTCAGGGTACCAGGTTTAAGCCCCATACTGGGCTCCATGCTGGGTCCAGAACCTACTTTAAAAAAAAAAAAAAATTTTAATTGTGTAACTAAATGGGATAAGGGTCTGCCTGAGCATTACCATGACTCCTTTAGGATTGAAATCACAGAAATACAGTAATTAAATGACTTCAAGGGAACTTTCTTGAAAATAATCAACTTGTGTTTTGTTGAAATACTTCAGAATCCCCAAAACAAGGATAAGATTCAGGCTACTACCTTTTTTTCTGCTGCCCGTACACATACATGCAACTATTCAAAACGGTAAAGAAAATATATGCAACTATTGAAAAGGTACTAAAATCTTGATATTCGGGCGCCTGGGTGGCTCCGTTGGTTGAGTGACTGCCTTCGGCTCAGGTCATGATCCTGGAGTCCCGGGATCGAGTCCCGCATCGGGCTCCCTGCTCAGCGGGGAGTCTGGTTCTCCCTCTGACCCTCTTCCCTCTCGTGCTCTCTATCTCTCACTCTCTCTCAAATAAATAAATAAAATCTTGATATTCTTCTCCTAGTAATCTAATGCAATTGTGATATAGGAACAAAAATTTCTTGAGGAAACAGAAGTACCAACCTTATTTAAAATAAGTAAGAATGTCTTTATGCCGTATCTTCTTCTCAAACCAGATGACAAAAATACATACAACACAAGTAAATAAAAAAATTTAAAGTCAAGAAATCTCAACAGAAAAAAAGCACCAGAGTAGAAGATATATTTAGAAATGAGGCTGAGACACAAACTATATGCTTCAGAGTTTTTTTTTTTTAAAGATTTTATTTATTTATTTGAGAGAGCGAGAATGAGAGAGAGAGAGCACATGAGAGGGGGGAGGGTCAGAGGGAGAAGCAGACTCCCTGCTGAGCAGGGAGCCCGATGTGGGACTCGATCCTGGGACTCCAGGATCATGACCCGAGCCGAAGGCAGTCGCCCAACCAACTGAGCCACCCAGGCGCCCTATGCTTCAGAGTTCTGCATCTTTGCAAATGAGGGGTCCAAAATGTGGCTCTCTGCTTATTGGTGATCACATCGACTGCGTCACGTGAATACCAATAGCCTTGTCTTGCCACACCTTATAGATGACATTTCTCACATAGTCTATCTGTACCATCTTTCTTTGGATAGTTCTAAAATCTCAAGCTCATGTTTTTTGGGGGGGGGCAGGGTTTAGACTTTTTTATTTATTCATTTGACAGAGACAGCACAAGCAGGGGGGAGGGGCAGAGAGAGAGTGAGAAGCAAACCCCTTGCTAAGCAGGGAGCCTGACGCAGGGCTCGATCCCAGGACCTTGGGATCACGACCTGAGCCGAAGGCAGATGCTTAACTGACTGAGCCACCCAGGTGTCCCGCATGCTCATAGTTTTAATTATTCAACTCTTCAATTTAGATGTTTTTCTTTTAAAAAAATATCCACAGCAAACACTCTCTAGGATCCTATTTCCTTTCCCGTGACAAGCTCATAACTGCCGTCTTCCTGCCAGGGTGCGGGTCATGATCCTAATGTGGCGATGCCATACCTGTCACAGAAGGTAATGCCAAACTGCTTCTTCTTAAGTATATTTTACATCAGACCAGAAAGTTACATGCATTTAAAACTGTGATGGGGCACCTGGGTGGCTCAGTTGGTTGAGCATCTGACTCTTGGTTTCGGCTCAGGTCATGATCTCAGGGTCCTGAGATCGAGCCCTGCTTCAGGCTCCACGCTCAGCAGGGAGTCTGCTTGAGATTCTTTCTCTCCCTCTGCCCATCCCCCTGCTTGTGCTTGCTCTCTCTCTTAAATAAATCTTTAAAAAAAGAAAAAAGATTTGACAACCACTTTTTTTTTTTTTTTTTTACATAAAATAAGGTCACTACTGCGAAAATTTTGTGCTAGGATAAAATCAAGTTTTGCCTTCACCCATCTTTCAATCACACACCAACAGCTTCAACTGTAGGCAAAAGAGCCTAACATCAAAGCACATTTTGATTCACTCTAGAACACATCTTTTCCAATTCCTTCTGCTCTACCAAGATTTATGTACAAAAGCTGGAGGCTGCTAGCCTCCAAACTTCAATAGAGGCACTTGGAATACAGTGAAGCGGACTGTTCAGCTGCTTAAAGTGGATCCCATGAGCCTGCCTCCTGGAGGCATTTGCGGCTTTACATACTTGAAAATGAATAGAACAAGTCAAAGGACGCACTTGAGGTCTGCATTAGATAGAAGCTGGGAGTTGCGGGGGGGGGGGGGGGGGGGAGAATGAGTAAGAAACAGAGAATGGACTAGAGAGACATAGTAAACCTTACTTTAAAGGTCTGACAGCAATTTACTGAAAGATACTTGCACCAGTACATGTGCTACCATGCTATTTAAATAGTGGCAACATCAATTTATTTATTCACCGTTTTTCTAAAACCACATACCCGTAACTGTATGCTTCCTAACCACTCACTATTCACATTTACTTTGAAAAACCACCTGTACTTAAAACTCAAGAGCTAGTGTAACTAAGACTTTTTTTTAAAATATTAGGGTTCTTTTAATAGCAATAACAACCATCTCTGTCATTACTTTGCAGCCCTTCACAAGCTATGATAACTAATATTTTCAATGCTTAACGCCTGCTTTTATTTGCCTAACCTATGTAGCTATCAAAGAACTGAGATAGTCACTATTTTATTTGAAACTCACAAACAACCCTGTCAACAAATAATATAATTAATAATTAATTAATTAATAATTAATTAATAATAATATAATTAATAATATAATTAAGGAAACACAGTAGCCACATCACAAATAGAAACACACATGTGTGCACTGTTTTAGGCGTGTTTATTTAATGATTAAGGGGGTGATGATGTCATTTGAAATACATTTCATTCTTTCTAGATCAAATCCATCGGAACAAATCCAGAGCCATCCAACTTCCATACATTCAACACAAGAATGTGTTCATGATTGCCTCAGTAAATCCTGAACTTCATAATCTCAAGCCATTTCTTTTCTTTTTTTTTTTTTTTTAGATTTTATTCATTTATTCATCAGAGAGAGAGAGAGAGAAGGAAGAGAGCACGCATAAGCAGGGGAAGTGGCAGGCAGAGGGAGAAGCAGGCTTCCCGCCGAGCAGGGAGCCCAACGCAGGACTCAATCCAGGACCCTGGGATCACGACCTGAGCCAAAGGCAGACGCTTAACGGACTGAGCCACACAGGTGTCCCTCTCAAGACATTTCTAACACATCCCAGCAGAGCAACTAAACAACCAAAAATTTTTCAGAACACAAAGATACCTTGGCAATTATATAAAAACTAAAGGACTCTAGTCTTTATGGGTATTGCTAGGAAAATTACACATCTCAACATTTTCATTTCTTGAGAGTTGCCACTGCTCGAAGCATGCAAATTTCAGCAAATTTGACAAGAAAAAAAAAGTCATAAAAACTCCTCTATCCTGTGAAGCAACAGCACCCCAGAAGTGGTTCATTTTCAAATACCATCCATCAGTAATAGCCTTCTCTCACAACAGACAACCGTAACAAATTTAGCTGACTTCAGTATTGGTCCAAATAGAGCTAACGCACCAGAGGTGTCCATCTCCTACAGACTCAAGTAAGGCTCACCATTTTTTTCAGCTTGAGTTAAATGAAAGAAAATGCAATTCATATTTCCAGAAGCAAAAGTGGCATATTTTCCAGTAAGCTTCTTGTTCTCATTTTACTATTTTAAGAGTTCTGATCACTCCCAGCATTGCTGTGTGGCAAGATCTCATTTCTGGTGGCTGATCATTTCCATGGCACGATGCTTTACCAAAACCGTCTCCAGAAGCTGTTTTGATTCATATTTAGCTTCAGTGTATTTATACACAAAATACCATTTCAATGGCGTCGTGCCAAAAAAGAAATAGCTTGCTCGGATTTCAGTTGACTTTGTTAAAGGAAATTATTTTAAATTAATGTGGCTATTGAACTGCTGCCATTCTTAACCTCAGAAAATATATTCCTTCTAATTTTTGCTGTGAACATTTATTTATTTAAGTTAAATTCCAGCTCGTGAATGTTGACCATAAGGAGTCTAAACCTTCCTGCTCCTATTTCATATTCTTCTTCTAAACAAGGGCAGGCACATACTGGCCACATTAGTATGCAGAGCCAGATCACCACCATTAAGTGAAATCATCTATGTATTTTTGGTAGAATCTTTAACAACTTCCACGCCTGTCATAGAAATGGAACAAGGCTGTTTTGTTTTCAGACAGCAACAATTTGATCTCTGGTTTACTAGATGGCGCTCAAAATATTTTTCCATATGTTTTTCCGCAAAGAGAATCTGACATCTGCGTGGTTTACCTTTACCAGTGAATGCAGGCTTTTTTCACCAAACATATCCCAAAGGAAGGTCAGGTCTTCCTGGCTATCCACATGTGGCTGCAGCTGGGCTGGCAAAGCAGTCAACAGCTCATACAGACCTATAAAATGAAAATAAAACACAAAGCGTAATCTTAGAGTGATCTCATTAATTTCACGTAAGGTGTGTGTAAATGACAGCTGCAACATGCCGTTTATATTGGATCTGTATTCTAGGCCATCAAGCAAAACCCTCTCCCAAGAAGCCAACGAAACTTTTTGATTTTTAAATCCCAACCAAGTATGTATTAACAGGCTAGTTTTTACCTTTCGGTTGTCAACATTCTACAGGCATCCAAGTTTACATAACCTGAGACAGAAAATGTGTACAAGCTTTCAGAGAAAGAAGAAAACGCATACATTCCTTTCCTTAATCGTTATTACATTTCCCTCAATGTTTGCCAAAGAGTGAAATGAGTCATGAATAGGAAAAACTTCCTTAGAAGAGCAAAAAACTGATAGAATGGTCCATTAAAAAAGGTTTTGTGGTTTCCAAATAGTTCCTAATAATATATAGCTTCAAAAACATTTGCATTATCTAACATCCAAAATCAAGTTCTAAAAAGTAAGACGGATTCAACCATCCTTGGTGTTGCTTCACTGTAGTCGCCTGGTTTTAAAACAACAACAAGCTACACAGAACTGAGTTTCAACTGGACTCTGCTCTGGGCGTATGTGATACCCTCTGAAAGAGTTAAGGTAAAAGATGCGGGTTACTTGGAGCCCTCCTCACTAGAAGCTTCCCTGGGGTAGACAGTAGCGCCATGTTCCACAGTAGCTGACTGCAGAAACCATCCATCTCCTTCAGGAGCCATCAGACTCCGGTCCAAGAAAGGTTGCGACAGCGCCTGCCCAGGACTCTTCAGGGAGGTGACCTGGCAGGAGTCAGTATCAACTCTTAGCACATGTTTCACTTTCCAGGGGGATTACATGAGGTAAAAAGGACAAAATTCCTTTTATTTCTGTCTGCTGTCTACAAAAACACCGAGACCTCCTGGGATCTACAACACACAGGGCTGTTGTTATTCCTACGCTGAGTAAGTGCAGTGGTTCATCAGAGGGACAGCTTTACAAGATACTTAACCAGCAAAGAATTGTAAATTATGGCCTGATTAGTGTATCTATTATCTTCCAAAAGCGTTATAATATTCTGATGATCAGTGATAATTCGCAACCAGATGTATTAGCTCTCGCTTGGAAAGTTGGATCTGTTAACTTGAGAGTTTAGATTAAACTCAAACATTCCTGGGACTGCATTTGACCAAAAAGATCTATAATATTCTAGGAACAAAAAAAAAACTTCTCCCTATTCCGTTCTTAAGTATTCTTGATGGTTTATATTTACTCCCTTAAAAACCTGGCATCTTGCCTAAACTAGCTCTTATTTATAAATTTGTAAAAACATTTTTTATTAACATATAATGTCTTGTTTCAGAGGCACAGATCTGTGATTCAACAGTCTTACACAATTCACAGCGCTCACCATAGCACATACCCTCGCCAATGTCCATCACCCAGCCACCCCATCCCTCCCCCCCTCCACTCCAGCAACCCTCAGTTTGTTTCCTGAGATTAAGAGTCTCTTATGGTTTGTCTCCCCCTCTGGTTTCGTCTTGTTTCATTTTTCCCTCCCTTCCCCCATGATCCTGTCTTGTTTCTCAAATTCCTCTTATCAGTGAGATCATAAGATAATTGTCTTTCTCTGACTGACTTATTTCACTCAGCATAATACCCTCTAGTTCCGTCCACATTGTTGCAAATGGCAAGGTTTCATTTTCTGATGGCTGCATAATGTTCCACTGTATGTATGTGTGTATATATATATATGTATATATATATATATATACATATATATATATATAAACATTTTTAAGGTGTCTGAACCTAATTCAGTGTATAATAATACAGGTCTCACTTTACACATATACATATACACACACATTTAAAGTAATGACAATTGCCAACATCTGTGGTTAAAGTCAGAGGTTCAAGTTGAAAATTATGTAAAAAGAAGGCAGAGTTTCACTGTTTTATATTGACTTCAGGAACAGTAAAAATGATTCCTTATTCCTTGGTAATATGATTAGTTTAATGATACTAATTTGACTATAATATAATTTATAAGGTATAGTTGTTGGGGGGTTAAATGAGGTAATATATATTAGAACAGCCCCTGGCACATGGTAGTCTGTTTCAGATGTAGCACAGTGAGCTTCAGCCATTGTTGTTATTATTACTGTTATTCATCATTACCATTCTTTGTTTAAAGATTTATTTATTCATTTTAGAAAGGGGGAGGTAGGTGCAGAGGGAGAAAGAGTCTTGGGCAGACTCCCTGCTGATCATGGAGCCCGATGTGGGGCTCAATCTCATGATCCCGAGATCACGACCTGAGCCAGAACCAAGAGTTGGATGCTCAACCAACCACACCACCCAGGCACTCCCATCACTACTATTATTAAAAAAGCAAAAGTCTGAGTCAAACAGACCTAGATTCAAACCAGGTCTATCCTTCAGTTATTTCACATAACTTAACCTCAGCCTTGTTGCCCTCATCTGTTGGAAAAGAAATGGTAATCTGCACATGTAATAAAATTGAACAGAAAAAAATATACAAATATGTACATATACACAAAGAAGTGCACGTGATACAGGGGGAAATCTGAGAAAGGGTAATGGACTGCATCAGTGACAATGTGCCCCTTGCAATTACTATGGTTATGCAAGATGTTACCACTGGAGGAAGCAGGGTCAAGGGTACACAGGATCTATATTATTTCTATGAACACAGGAATCCACATTATCTCAAAATACAGTTAAAACCAAAGGAGACATTGTGGTGAATGTGATTGTTGTAAGAATTCAAGGGAACAATGCACATAGCAGCACTGAGCCCTGTGGCTGGCACTCAACAGGCATTTGATAAATAAATAAATAAATAAATAAATAAATAAATACACACACACACACACACACACACACACACACACACACACATAAATATGTTCTTCTTTTCTTAATATGCCTCATCTGGAATGAAAACCCCATTGCAATGGTACAAAGTCAAAACAACAGCTTAGTGATACATTCCCCTGGACCCAATACCATACTCAGAAAGAAAACCACCCTAGTCTTTTACATATGGAAAATGTTAACTTTACCCAAGTACTGCTTAACTTTTTGTGGGAATAAATCATATTATCTTACATTACAATAATAATTTCTCTGTTAGCAGTAGCTCATAAACCTGAGTTTTCTGGGTTTTCCGAGCTTTATGCAATCGTAATTCATATGCCCCCCTAGCTTGGCACCCTCGTGACGACAGCTGTCACTTCTCTTGAGCTCCCACATCTCGTAGCCCCACCAAAGCCAAGAAGAGACAGGACAGTGCCAATCAGAAATGAAAGAGGCTGAGAAGAGTTAGGAGGGCAGGCGAGTGGCCTCAATGCAGGTAACATGGCCCACCACATCCACTCAAGTACGTCAGAGAGACCCCAGAAACCAGCTCAGTCCATGGCTAAAACCAGGTCCCTGTTCTCACAGGGGCTTTTTATATTCAGTTCCTAGAGTTCCAATAGTGAACACCACTATGAAATCCAAATGGTTTGGGTCCTTGATATTCAGAGAGCAAGTAACAGAGTTTAGCTAACAAGGGTTATCTTGGACAATCTTACCTACATCTACCTACATCTACTGAATCTTACCTAAATCTGAGCAAGAACTGGGACTACACTCCTCTGTAAGTCATTCAAGCTCACGAGTGCTTCATTCCAGTACACCATTATGGTACCTACCTAGAGGTCTAAGACAAATCAGCCATGATCCCTGTCCTCAGGACGTCACAGTGTAGAGAACAAGCACAGACAGGTCGGTTAGGAAGTGCAGAGCAGGGTTAGGCCGCGTGGCAAGGCAAGGTAAGTGGTCAATTCCTCTAAAGGAGGGAGAAGACACCAGGGAAGGCTTCAGCAAAGAATCACACCTGAGTTACATCTTGAAAGCTTCCACTCCTAAGAATCAGCATTTATGAGTTCTTCCATTCAGAGCACTACATTAGTTCCTCTATACAAGTAGGTGGAGAATATGCCACCACCTCTACCCCAGAGATCTTACATCTTGGATAACACAGAATACATATCATATATGCTCAAAGAGAAAGCAATCCTATTTATAATGATCTCCTGTTTGGGGCGACTGGGTGGCGCAGTCAGTTAAATGGTTGACTCTTGGTTTCAGCTCAGGTCGTGATCTAGGGATCATGAGAACCAGCCCCGCATCAGGCTCTGTGCTCAGCGTGGAGTCAGCTTGAGATTCTCTCTCTCTTCCCCCTCCCCCCACCACCACTCTTGTGTGCATGCACTCGCTCTCTCTCTCTAAATAAGTCTTCAAAAAAAAATAATAATGATCTCCTATTTGTCCAAGTAAAGATTCAAAATGTATATTCCTCCAAGTAAAATAAACAGATGTTTAGGCTGTGGATAAAATATTCAAACAGCAAACTAATTTTCACGGATGTTGTGAGATGCCCATGCCGGCTTATAGTATTTAAATTATAATTTGGTTAGGAACACACACTTTTAATTACCTATTAAGTACAAATATCATAATTTAGATATTTGGGGTTTGCCCCATTTGCACATTTCATGCAACCATTTTATTTAAATTCTTTACAATGACTTCTTTATCACAACTACCACTTGCAGAGCTGGAAGAGATCATTTTCACTTCTAGTTATTTGAGATACAACACTTTTCTGAATGCATGGGAGATGCCTTCACTAAGAATCTGGGTAAAGCTGAGTGCTTTTCCACCTGATCTACACCTCTATGTTTTTATCTCCACACCAAAATCACTTACCTACTCTCTAAGTATCTCTAACACTTGCAGGTCTGAGGTTTTTAACCCCTCTCCAAGAAATATTAACCCGGTTTAAACTTCCTTGTCTCTTTAAAAACAACAACAACAATTCTGTCAGATGATCTTTCAATGACTCCAGAAACAGGAACTTGGGTTATATGAGAATAATTAGGGCTTCTCCAATCAACACATTTTTATGTAAGGAACA